TGTAACAGAAGTGTTTCTTGTCAAACGGGACCTGCTGCGTGTTGTAGCGCCGCTAAACTGTTGACCTCGGGTCCTGGACTATGTCACTTTCTCCTAGTTGTAGAAGTCTTGAAAATTTGTTGTTTGTTGCTAATCTGTTGGCATCTACAGCAGCACCAATGCTTTTTACTTTCACGTTGACTGGGCCCTGTTTGTAATCATCTAAAGTATTTATCTGCATTATATCTGTATTTTTATTTGAAACAATACGAGCAAGCAGGAGCGTCTGTTTGTGGGCGGGGCTTGCTGAGGCAGAGAGGGAGGTGAGAGGAGGAGCTGAGGGGAAAACTGGTTTGAAGGGGTAGAGTTTACACTCAAGATTTCCCCCCCAAAACCGGCACTTCCTCAGATCCTGCCTACACCACCTTTAATCCTACCTATCTCAACTGAGTGGATCTGCTCTACAGCATGCCCCCTTTTGAGGGTATCTCAGAAGACTTAGTGCTGAGCCAGAATCCTCCAATACTGGGCGCTTGTCACCAGTATGAGTATTATTTGATTGTTATTAAAACTTACAGTACAAAAACAGACTGCCTTACTCGTACAGCAAAGTTACTTCTGTTTACGACCTGAAACATTGTGCAAACTGACCGCCTCTGTTATCCAGTCACACTACTGCAGCATTTTTCAACAGAGCAGCAAATTTAGACAGAACACTAGCCCCATGATAAACGTCAACACTGCCGGCTCCACTCCCCCTCCACAGCTACCCTGAGGGAATTATCCAGAAGATTTGCTACTGCGTTCTCACATGAGCTCACTCAGACTACCCTGAAATGATTCTTGGAGCCTAGCAGGAAAAAAAAAAAATTGGCTACTTGTGTTAACACAAACACCTCAATCGGGCAGTTGTGGGAAATTTTCAGCATTGTTGTGCATTTCTGAAAGTGGCAAACGCACAACTGAAAGTTGATGTTTTTAAGAACAGGCTCAAGACTCATCTTTTTAACCAGGCAGATTGCCTTTTTATATTTCTATTATTGCAAATCAAAAATCTTAATGTGTATTTTGTGTCATTTTATTAATTATCTCTGTTCTTAGTCTTTTTCTTAATTCCTGTCTTAGAGGTTTTTACTTCTTTTACCTTTTTTACATGGTAAAGAGCTCTTACTCATCTGTTCATTTAATATTATTCTCTTGTTTTAGTCCATCAGGTTTTAGTCTTTCTTCTCACCATTTTTTATCTTTATATCTTTTATCTCCAGTGTTTCCCAGGGGTAGCTCTTTCCTCCATAATGTATTGGTGTCAGACCATGTCTCTTTAACAATATATCTTAAATTCTCACACCGTGTGCACTTGTGTGTGTATATGTGTGTATGTGGGTCCATGGGTGGGTGTGTGGGTGGGAGGTTCGGGTTTTATTGTTGTTCATTGTTTTTTGTCTGAAAAGTGCCATAAAAATAAAGTTGAATTTGAGACGTCTCCTATTCTGATACCCAGCATTTTAGGACATCTGTGTCGCCTTCGATCTTGTGTTAGGGGATATCCGAGTTTGACTTATTTTAATACCATGATATCATCAGCCCCAGAGAAGTCTGTCTGCTACCACGTCATGATGAGTAGATACATCCCATATCATGAAGTACTACGAGGTCTGTACAGCTCTAAGTCTGTGCATTACTACTGAAGTTGGGCTCAACAATCTGGAACTAGTTTAGGACCATTACTTCTCCTGAGGATTCATTTCATGACATTGAGAGTGAACGCACATGCAAGATGTTTGCAGGCTCACAAGACAACTATGTAAAAATGTTGATTTCTCTGCATCACCAAGAATAAAGCTTCAAGAGCATTTTCATGAACCTGTTGGTAACTGGGATGTAGACATTGCTGTAAGGATTGTTTTTCATGTCCTCTGGTTTTTTAATTTCTTACAAAGCAGAACAGGCCTTATTGAAGTCCGTTGGCTCTTTCCCCCTTGAGGATTCGTGTGGTTGTTAACAACCAAACTGCTTTTCATCTTCAAACATTACACTCTGGTTCCTTGAGTTTTGTAACACATTATAACTGATAGAAATCAGAGCAAGGCACATTAATTAAAGAGTAATTAAAAATGTGTGAACCCTTGTCACAACACGATACATTTGTAGTCCTTAACTAGATGGAGGAGGTTAAGTAACAGGTCCACCTTTGAGCCACAAGCAACACATAAACGCAGTAAGAATGAGGCGTGAGAGGCAGTGTCAGATGTGGATCAGTGCCTGTTAACAGCTATAAATAATGCAGTGGACCTTAAGTGCAGCAGAGGGGTCAGAAAGTTTTCACTTACATGTACTAGAGCGTGTAGTTGAGTTTGATCTGAGGCCGTCACTTTCCTCGACACAGGGTGGAGCTCTCGCAGGGTGAGCTTCAACCATCGTGACTGTTCTGCAAAGACTACTGCAACACTCATTTAAAAGAGAGGACATGTTCATGGGACTCAAATTAACAACAAACCGTATCCACTGATTATAAAATAAGACTGACTATGATTATAAGAAACCCTCCTTTTTTAAGACCACTTATTGGGAAGACTGACCCAATCTTTTTTTTCTTTTTTTTTTTTTAAGATAATAATTGAATAGACACAGTGAACAAAAAAGGTAATTCAATGTTTATATAGGGTCAATATGGTAATCCTCTTTGGCCATGTGAGTGATGGTAACCAATAGACATATTCCTGTGGTGGCCAAGTTCTTGTGACATCATGCACATCATGGACGCAGTCTGCCTCCTCACTGGGTGAAGCCACTCTGAGAACAGCACCCTCTGGTGACGGGCTGCGGTATAGGTCATAAATCCCACCTCCTCCAGAAAAACTTATGGGGCTGTGGACAAACTTTAGAAATTTATTACAGAGAACATAAATTTTTCTCCCGCCGGTTGTGATGTTGACATGTAGTTATTGTAAGACTGGTTTGTACTCAAGTCCTCTTTTTTCTGTACAGCTCAATTTTTAAAAGTTATCAGGGGGTTCATGTTTTCTATGATTGACACGTGATACAGCCTATGGGCGTACAAAGGGGGATATGCTGTTTGAGCCGAGCGTCATCACTGTCGCCAACTCTCCTGCCAAATGTGTACAATGCTACTGCGCAATTTTGGTTTCATGAAATGAAGAAAAATCATGGAAATACCAAGAGCTTTTCAGCTTCAAATCCATATACTGCTGGAAGGCGATACCAAGTTGTCCATAGTATATACAGTCTATGCCTCGAACCAGTTGCTGTCTCTCATTTATTTATAATTAATACATGACAACAAGTTCCCCACCCTGATGGTGAGGGTACAAGAAGCAGGCAGCTGTAAGAATGGGGTCAATAAGAAAAAAACTTATGTGTCGGTGAAAAACACAGACCCCAGAAACCAACCAACACTTTCCCCAAGAGCCTCCTGAAGATTGCACAAGCACAGTGTTGATCCATCTTCCCTTTATCATACTGGATCTCCTCAAAGCGAAAATATAACATGAAGAAAACTAGAGAAGTCTGAGTGGTTCAAGTTCTCTCCATTCATAGTGCTTACATGCTTTTACTGTGTGCAGCATAATGAGAGCTCAGTAGACAAATACTCTCACATCTTAATTTTTCAATTAGCAAGGCTCTTGTACTCTAAACATATGCAAACACAGCAGGGCATCAATTAAAATGCAACTCCAGTGTTGAGCCTAATTAGAGTAAATTGGTTGGCTTGTAACAGGAGAAATTTGAATGCAGCTCGCTGTCCATGTTTTACCATGTGTTTGCCCAGACAAACAAACTAGCACTTGCTGCCTCATGCATATGTTCAATCACAGCCTTGCAGAGAGACAGGAGACTCCTCCTGTAAGTGTACAAAAACATGCTTGTGTGTATGTGTGTGTGTATTTTTTGGACAATCAGTGACAAATATTTGAATTTACTCCCAGTGTAGTGTTTTTTTGGTAACACTTTATTTGACGCCTATCTCTATTACACATTACAAATATATATATAATGCATTACAATCACGTTAAAGTACTGTATAACTATAGTTATAAACACTCATTAATGATAATAATGCTTTATAGCAATAATCATATCACATTATAAAGCATTTTATCATGACTAACAAGGTCAGGTATTATGTGTTATGCTTGTTGTTGATAAGCCTTATGATAATTAATGAGAGTTTATAATAATAGTTATACAAGTTTCTAAGCAAATTATAACACATCATAAATATATGTATAATGCATTATCTATGTGGGCATTGTCAGTGAGTTGTTAACAGTTATAACACATTATAATACCTGACCTTATAAGACATGATAAAAGGCTTTATAATGTGTTGTGATTATTGCTATAAAGCATTATTATTATTTTTGAGTATTTATAACTATAGTTATACAGTGCTATAACATGATTAAAATGCATTATACATATATTTATAATGTGTTATAGAGATAGGCATCAAGTAAAGTGTTACAGTTTTTTCAGTCCCCCATTTTAGATTTACTGCAGCATCATATTATTATTCCGATAATTTAAATATAGAAATATTCATTAGAGGAAGCAACAACACTTTTAATGCTTTATTATATGTTGTTTTTGCGCCCAGCACTTCTCTTTGGCTACATTATGACTTTAAAGAGAGGAAAATAACTCAAACTAATAAAAAGTTGCTGACTTTGTCTCAGTGATGCCTTGATAGAAGCAGATCTCCAGTATTTTTGCCAACGTCATGGGAACATTGGAAAGGCTTACAGTACAGTAGGCAGTGAGCCAAATGGACCCTGTGCAATGTAAAGGATAATTTGTTCTGGATGCTCCCTACTTTGTCGAGGTTCACATCTGCCTCCGCAGCGAGGTAGAGAAACCATGTCTCCGCCTGCTATTCCAGAGCAGTAGTGACACTGTGTTAGGTTTTAGCTAACTCTGGCCTCAGTTTTGGACGACACCTTGTTTTATATTTGAGGAATCTCAGGTTTGTCATTTTTGGAGCATTTTTTTTTATTTGTGATGCAATGGACAAGATGGCAGATGAAATGACTCTGACAACTGATGTGAAAGACAAAGAAGGAGTAAACGCTGAGGAGAGCTGTACGTGGGTGAGAGGAGGTAAGTGGATATGACATGGATCATGTTGGAAAAATACGAGCACCAGTATTGAGTCACCCTTTCTTTGAATCTCCATTGTGATGATATAGTCAGTGTCATCCTTTCTGATCTTGTTACTACCACAAGTCACACAATAAGTTGGTTTTATATAAGCATCTTACTGAATTATCATTTGGAGAATAAGAGAAATCACAGTTAAAGTAAAAAGATCATCAGAACCACTGCTGAAGCACTGAGTAAGTGTGGCATCTAATGAGTAAGCACAGCTCTGTGCAAAAGAAGAACAAATCCTAAAAAATGCATTGTATGCCTGCAGGCCTTATTTCTCTATCAGCTAATGGTCATGGGCATGGAGCAGCTTTTCTTCTCACTTCATTTATTAAATAACCCATCACGCTGTTCAAACAGAGTTCAAACATACATGCAGGCAGAACTGATCTGAAGTTGTTTTAGCTTGTGCTTCAGTTATCAATCTCACACCCTCTTTATGTCTTAAAAAAGAAACAAAACTATGACATTTGAAGCTCATACAGTTATAATGGGATTAAAAGAAACATACACACACATATAAATATACTGTGTACATATATATTTTTTTACTTTTTTAATAGAGGCTAACAAAATCTTTAATATAACAAACACAGCCCTGAGCAATGTCCATTTGTATCTCTCTTCAGACAATTTAGCTGAGACTAATCTGATTTATTCAGCTTTCAAAAATGTGTCCAAGGTGTAAATTAATCATCGGATATTAAAAGTTAAATAAATCAGAGAAATAAATGGTGAATTATTTATTTCAAATAGGTGGTGAAAAAGTAAACAGTTTGCAGCCAATGTGGTGACTCATTAATAGATCAGGTATTAACAAATATGTCTGCTGCCACAAAAATTCCTCTTCCATTGTTTTATTTTATTTTTTGAACACGTATAGACTCTGCTGTCAGGTACAGACTTTTGTGTTGTGTGGTGTTATGGGTAGGCCCCTATTTCCATGCACCTATGGGGAGTATGGACATCCAGAAATTGTGAGAGTAACACTGCAATATTATTTTCTTTAGCTGTACTTTTGCACTTTGAGATTGTACTTACAATGTCAAGTTTTTTTTTTAAATAAAATTTATTATGATGATGATTAATTTTCCCTGTTCCTGCAGAAAATTATTCAAGAACTTTACATTACTATAAAGGGAAAAACAACTGAGAGCATAAATACTGTATCATGTGATTTTTTACCATTTATTTTTGCATGGTATTAGAGTGGATCCTTTAAAATTTTATTTTTATATGATATTGAAAAACTAGTCATTTTACAGAACAAACCAAATGCTTGCTTCAGAACAGCTCTTGTGTATTCTTTTAGGATTTTAATAACCTCTTTGTTGGGAAAGGTCAAAGGAGCAGCTCAGAGAGAGAACTCTGCAACCTCATTGTTGAATTTCACATCACAATTTTTACACTAACAAAATTTATTTAACTGTGAATGTTTCTGGTTAATGTGTTTGTATTCACTTCATATTTTGTCTCCTGGACAGAAAAGATGCAAAATGAGGCTCAAGTTGGCAACTGGAGACTCAGTGTCCCTGCAGAAACTGAGGCTGGTGAGACCAGCAGAGATGTTGACGCTCAGCAACAACCCAAAGAGTGTGAAAGCTCTCATTCTCCTCTATTCTCTTTGAAAATGTATTTGAGGAGATCTTTCTCTGCAGCATCTTCCTCCACAGACTCTCTGTCTGCTACTCAGCAGAGCAACATCGGAGGTCAGTGGTACCAGCATCATCTCATCACACCACTCGAATGCCCTGTGGCTGCAAACAGCTGTGTGGCCTGTTGCTGAACCCACACTGAAAGTCTTGAGAAAAAAAAAAAATGTGCTCAAAAAAAAAAAAAAGTGTTTCAAATGTACCTTTTTATTTCCTGCGCAAGAATGATGGTGGAGCAAGCAGAGACGAAATTTAAAAATGACAAATTACAAGCTTTATGCCGTAACATGCTGTGAGAATGCTTAAATACTGTTCATGTGATCAATTATGAAAATGTATGAATTATTTAAAAACTGAAACTACAGCAAAAAAGAATATGCAAAAGAACTGCCACCAAAGTAGGATCTCCACTGAGTTCTGCTACACCAGATACAGCAGCATATGTGATAATGCTGAGGTGCTTTTGTTTATATGCTCATAGTAAATTCAGAATTCAATTACATTGTAATCTGTTTTAATTACCTTCAGGAAAATTCATCATTTTAGGGATTTTCTTTAAAGACAAAACCAATCTTAATCTCTCTGGTAAATATACCATTTAAGGAATGATATAGCTCAGTATCAGGATGGCAGATGTAGCCTGGTTTTGTTCAAAGTTCAGGAATACATTTATCCTAAAGTCCTTAGTGCTTTTGTTCCTTTGGTTCATCTACTGCTTTGGTGGTGTTATATTTAACTTTTTTCTTGAAGAACAACAGTTTGTATTGGCTGACACATAGTTGTGCCTAATGCCTTTATTTTGGCTGACATGTAAACAGATTGGAGCAGCCTCACAGCATTGAGTCAGCTGTATAACCCATGTGCTACAGCTTTTCTGTTAAATCAAGCAAATGAGAAACTGCTTAAACTGCCTCAGTAATTTCCGATTTTTATCTAAACCAAACATAAATTAAATTTGTAGAGAAACGAGGGAAAACATATGATTCGTTTAACGCAATAGTCAAATGCAAACTACATGGACAGTCACAGTGCTAGCAGCAGCAGGGCTGCAGCAGTCACCCGGTCTGTGATGATACCACAACATTATAGACAGCAGCAGCTCAGTGAGGTGGTCTGTTCAAGTCACTCTGGCTCACAGGTCATGTGTCTCCATCATTACATAACTAATTAAGTCCAGCTCAGTATACAGCTCAAAAATAACTCTTCATTTATGGTACAGCTTTTGGTGATTATAATTTATTTGGGTAAATATTCATTATAAGAACATGTTTACTCATTTAATTTAACCCTTAACATAACAGGTCTTTGAATTCCAAAATGTTCCTGACTTATGATATTCAGGCTTTATCAAATTTTAAGGTTAAATTGGGTGGGTAGTATCACTTTATAGCCATTTAGTAATCGAGAGGTATTTTCACTGTTTTTACTTTTTACTCTAAAGCACAAAAACACCTTTATGGTCAATAGTGTGGTCAGATTTTGGCTCTGCTATCTTAAAAAAGGCTGAGTCGGTATGTGTCAGTCAGTTTATTTAAATGTAGTAGAAAAAAATCAATTTATTGCAAAAGTTAGACTAAAACTGGACTTTAAAAATGCATGTAAACAGGCTCGTTCGACTGAAATCGCACTGAAATCAAACTTCTCATGGTCGAACTGACTTACCTGGATAATATTATTGATCGATTTTCTGTTGGATTTGTATGGTTTAATCGAGCTGAATCTGGCCTTGCCCGAGTGTTTGCACGTCAGGCTCTGAGCCGGTGGTTGGATAGCATGGATGCAATGCTAGGACGCAAGTAGTAAGCAAGCATCAAGAAAGGATGTAAACAAGACGAAACTTTCATAACAAACAGCACAGAGCTGTTAAAGTGGCATCCTATTAGCCTCTTGCTAACGCCTTTTTTCAGCTGTTTTGTTAAGTTGCAGTACCTGTCAACCGAGATAGTAGCAAAGGGGACATGTCACCAACATGCTGAGGCTGTCAATAAACGTCTGTCAATGATTTAATTCTTGTCCAGTGCACATGGCACAGAGACAATAGTCCGGTTGAATTGCCAAATCAAGCCATGAATGTAGCCCGACTTAACTGTACATGTAAACAAACTGAGAGTAACTTCATACTTTGCATAAGTTCACAAACCAAATTTATCATAACAACTAATCACACAACTGAGTTTCATACTTGATTCTGATTGGTTATTATATATTAGCATTTCATGCAACAGTCTGCTTTGTTTTTGGTTGCAGATTGTTGCATGAAGAAGAGACAAACGCAGCCCTAAACTCTTACACTTGCAAACTAACTGCTATTATGTCAATGCCCATTTATTTTTTATGTGGATATCATTTGTCCTATTTTGTTTTCCTTAAGCTTGGGACTGTGTTAAATGTGTGATGATAAACCTGGTGACTGTAACTGGGAGTTTATGGACTCGCGTTTTCCACTTCATGAACATACGCTCTACCGATGAGCATAACTAAATTGAAAGTTACAGTATATTCTGATATTAAGGCATATGCAAATATAAAGATTTTTAAAAGAAAAAAAACGTGTAATAATGTGCAAAAGACCCATTTAAGGTTACCTTCTAACCACATGTCTGGTAACTGTTCAGTGTCATTAGGTAATTGCATGCCTTAAAGCTCCAACAGAGAAACATTTGGCTAAGGCTGCTGAGAAGACAAGTGGCAACAACACAACTTCTAAATTCTTCCTGCAAAGTGTGAAGGAGGGATATTGTTTACCGTAATTGATAATGTCTGCAGACAACTTTCTCTCTGTCAGGGATCAAGGCATGATTTTCTAAATTATGCATGTGTAAAAATGGAGGAGTGGGGGCTTTTAAAACGTTTTATGATGTGGGTGAAGAGCAGCAGCTTTGATGGCAGAATGATTGATGTCCCAAGACTTGAATAAACTTCATCACACAACATCTCAAAGAGGTCATTTCATTCAGTATGTGAATACTTCTTCTGAAGAGGACCAGCAGAAAGTAAAATAGAGTCATATGAGTACATGTACAGTAAAACAAAGTCACAGTTTGAGTGCTCCTCCTGACTACTCGTGTCTCCTTTAGTTGATTGTGCAGGCATCGTCCTTAGCTGTCTCTTCTGCCGGTTCTACGATATGATGCTCATGTTACCTGCTCCCTGCGAGAGAGTCGCGACTCATTGCTGCCCCAACTATAAACAAGTCATCACCACATCAGAGACTAATCCCAGCAGTAGCGATGACTCCTGTGTGGACTTGGACTGTGGCCTGTTCAGTTCCTGTCATGATGCAGGTGACTGCCTGGAGTTGGCCATGGAAATTTCTGAATTATGCTATCACTAAGGGGTGAAACCATATTAATCACCATTTACAACAACAGACAATGAAAGGACTGTATTCTTCTAACTTAGAAGTGAGCAAGAGAAGTGCAGCAGATGTAGAGCAAGGACTTGTGCAAGTATGCTATATACAATGTCAGAGGGCTACAAGAGGGATAAGATTGTTTTGTGAGAGTGAGAGAAATTTGCAAGAGTGGAACCACAGTCTTTGCTTTTGTCTCTAAACCTGTTCAGAGCAGGTTAGAATATTTTTGTACAGAAAAAAAAAAAAACTATGGTATATTAACTCACTGACATCTATCCCATGTTCAGAGGGGTTTTTTTTTAGAGCTGGAGACTTAGAACAAAATATAAATAAGTAAATAAAACAACCAAAACACAAAAATCAAAATCATGACAAAATAAGATAAGAAATGATTATCCAACAGTTGTTTCATTGAATATAGCGATTATTTATAAGTGGATTCATGTACTCTTTAATATGAATGTCTACCACCCTGTATGAATTTTACACTCTGCTTGAAAATGTTTTTTTGCTGCTTCAAGGATATGTTGTTGCAACCACACTGATGCAATCTTATTTGATGCTTGATCTCCTTTCATTTTGCATGGTTGAACAAATACTGATGTTCATAATCTTTTGTAGATACTACATGAATAAAAACCTGACCACTCTGGCTGTATTTCTCTGAGTTTTAATCCTACAGCACCAAAATGTTTAGCTTAGGTTACCATATTCCAAAAAGAGGACACCACGACAAGGGGCGGAGTCGCAGAGTTGTATGCAGTAAATTTGAGAGTTTTTCGGGTTGGGTCAAGTGTTTTTTACCTGCTTTTAACTCAGTTAGTCCATGCTACACAAACTCAATTTTATTAATTTTATTAACTTTTTTGGGGGCCGGACAGCCCCCAAAAAAGAGGACATGTCCGGGTAAAAGAGGACATATGGTCACCCTAGCTTAGCAGCAAGGTAGTATGGTCATAACGAACTACATACTGTGCTTTAGCCTTGCAAATGCCATCGCTCCTGTATTTGTATACACTGTCACACTTCAGCTTCGACATGATAGTCTTTCTGAGGACTGGAAAAAAAAAATTGCCCATCCTCCAATGAGAAACACAGCAGCTATTTGATACAGCATTTGTGGGACACCGATACTTGACCGTCCTCTCGACCTCAGAAACGGTTAGGTGAAGGGGTTTACACTGTTTGGATCACTTCAGTCCTGAATACGTCCTTGTGGCAAAATGGGGAAATGGACACAGTTGCAGGACTTCTATGTCAGTGTAAGTACAGTTTACAGACAAACCAGCTGAGGTACTCAGCACAATCCTAGTCTTCTTACATCTCATACCATAATAAAGTACATTTTCCAGATACAGTAACAATTTTCAGCTCAAATTTCTTCACTGCTCATCAGGAATAGTTAATAATATATAAAGCCATGCACTTCTAAGTGAAAATGACATAAAGATAACCACTTAATAGATAGAACTGCACAAAAATCAAAATGAATGTGTATGTATAAACAAACAATTCAAACGCTTAATTAATACAAATGACCTGCATATCACTCACAAATGTATGTCCTACTGTTCAAACTAAAGTCTGAAGAAGTTGACTTCCTACAAACCATATTCACAAATTAAAAGGTATAATTAGAAGATAAATGAACACTGTTTAGTGTTGCATATTTCGATGGGATATAATCCTCTTACAGTGTATGATTGAGTCTCTGTCTGTGACCATTTGCATGCCCTTAAAGCAGCACAGGAGCTTAGACCGGGCCGCGCAGGCAAGATAAAAATGTAGATACTGCACATGCTGTGCAAAATTGTATGTTGCAGGTTACATCTACAGGGAACACTGCTTGTGACCAATTTTCTCATTACCTGGTGCAGCCCAATTACAAAGCTGAGTGCTCTGGCTGAAAGTGCTCCATAAAACCTATTGGAGGTCCTTTGTGGTTTTTGAACATAAAGTGTGTCTGCATAAACAGATGCCAGTTTTAAAGCAAAAACATCTGCACATCCTAAACTCACTGGATCTCAGTCAAATTACCTGATGGCTTGGGGAGTAGCATGGCCTCCAGGAACTCCAATGTTTTTTAATAACATCCAAATGGTCTGTCCTTTACTGGCCGAGTCAAAATGCTGTTGCATACCAGCCAAGTGGATGTAGACAAGGTCAGGTGTCTTCATTGCCGTGCAACCCGTGCCCATCAATGGCTGCTTAAAAGAAAGTGTGAACCCGTCAGCGTTGCTGCTCACGCTTCTTCTCTAGTTTGTGGCTCGTTTCAAAACACTTGTAAAGGGTCGAGAAAAAAACTCTAACATTAAAATGATTACATGTGAAGTGAGTTTCAGCAAAACACTTCAAACGCTACACGCCACTCCTCTGCTGTTAAGTGACACAAGACTAACGTTAACGAGGTGGTGATCCATTTGCGTGCTGCTTCACCATGTTTACATGCATCTCTGCACACAAATCAGACATAAGGTTTCTTCAGAGTTTAGGCCCTGATCGCTTCATTAGTGAGAATCTGCTCTTCCTCCTGAGTACACAGCACTAATACTGTCTCCCTTCAGACACAGCGCCACGGCCCAGAATGGCCTCCTGAGGAAGCAACACCATTAAATATTAATGCTATGTGTTTAGAGGGTTTTTATTTCAAACAGCAGGTTTGTCAGCATCTTATGTAGAGTTCCTCAAGACTAGGTCCATGTGGAAAATAGAGCTCTGAAGCGCCATGCCTTTTGAAATGGTGTTTGAATAATTCCAGCTCTTATATTCTTCAGTGAACGCAGCGTTTTTACGGGCTGAGAGAACTGTTGTCTGTACTGTCAATGCAATATAAATGAGGTAATGTCATAAGGTGAATAGTGTATAGATAATATTGTACTTCAAAAATTGTGTGCATGTATTTCTTGTTAGCATCTACTGCACTGCCAGAGCATGATCTTTGATAATAATAGCATTCAGCACAACACATTATGATACAAGACAATGATAAACACTTCAATGCAGAAGACACTTGACTTTGTACGTCTTTTTTTTATGTCCACTTCAGCCGTGTGCGTGCAGCAGAGTAAATGTCTAAATTTATAAATAAAAAAAAACTCATCAAGAAATTTGTCATCCGTCCTCATTCTTGTCATTTGTTCTATTGTCCTAGTTTACATGCCATTTAAACTCACAGTTACAATTACAGCCTCAAACAAACCTGACCTCACTTTCATACAGGGAAGTGGTGTGTGTGAGTATTATCCTTAATTAGGTCAGGGGCATTAACAGTACAGTGGAATATGAACACTCCCCACAACATCCTCCAGGAATTGCGCCTGACACGACTGACTCTCTTGAATCTATATTTGGGCCACGTGTGTGGATGTGTGTCACCCAAAACTACCCACCTAATCTCCACAAAAGAAGAAAGTAAAGTGAGTTGTGTGCCCATGGGCAAAGACTGTTAAGGCACACAGGGATCTCCCAGCAGGCACTGAAAAAAAACAGGCCCTGAGCAGGTTTTTATAATACCTTTCAATCAACGGATGATTCCCAGCTGAAATAACAGGTGATTTGACTCAAACTCCAATTAATGACCTCATTTGAACAATTAAGAGAAGAGGAAAAAGGGGAAAGCCCAGCTGGAAGAGAGCGGATAAGACCTGGAAGAGGGTGTAGTTGCATTAGGAGTGCAGAGCGCTGATGTTGAACGTGACTGGAGCCTGCAGTCACAGGTGAGGTGACCTCCACCTTCTTCAACCAGGGGAAACGCTGGCATAGGAATGGGAGGAAATAAAGGACAGGAAGGAAAGGTGTGGCCTGGATGGGGCGAAGGGGTGACAAGAGGGTGGCAAGGGGATGATGAAGTGCATCAAGCTGTGTGCTTGCCCCCCACCCCCCACAGCATAGAGGAAATTAAAGAGCTGTGTAGCAGGAGGAGAAAAGGGGAGGAGGTTGGTGATTAGATCATGGCACAGGGGGATGGGGACCTGGCGCATTGGAGTTAATTACTGAATAATGAGGAACAATTTATTGTGTTCTTGTTAGAGACATCAAAATGATGCTGGAAACTGAGTACAGAGAGAGGCATCCTTCTCTCAGTTTAAATGTGTTTTCTTACGCAGAGATGTTCAAAGACCCCAACATCAGCTTGATCTACCTAGTAAAGAATTTTTGGTAACACTTTACAACAACCATAACTTATGAATGGTAAATAGACCAGATAGTGTATTAATGTTAAATCATCATTTATAAATAGCATATAGACCATTAATAAATTGTAAATTGTACGATTTTAAAAACCTAACCCTAACTTTACAAGAACATCTAAGTAATGTTTATAGGTGGTTTAAAAAAAACACTTATTAATCATTTACAAAGTATTACAAAAATCAGTTGCAACTTTACAATAACCATCTAAGTAATTTTTATAGATGGTTTACAAACCAGATATTAACTATTTACAAAGCGCTACTGACACACATTTTAATCTAGATATTTTACAACCAATATTTAAACCCTATATAAACCTTTCATACATAGTCCATTAATAATTTAAAGAAAATTATTAATCATAGTTTCATTGCTTGTTAATGGTAAAGTAACTTTTAACTTACATTAATAAACTATCTATTTACCATTTATAAATTATGGTTATTGTTAAGTGTTATTGAATTTTTAAAGAATTTTGCGCTAGTGTCCTTCAATAATTCTTCCCACTTTTGTTTCTGTAAAAAAATACATGATTTCATTTATCAAAGAAGGGAATTGAAAAATAAAAACTGAACACTTTATGTAACTTGGCTTTATTCTCTCGCAGAGATACCCAGCATCCCTCTCCCCCTCACAGTTAAGTGTCAAGCTTGCCACCAGTCCTTAGCAGAGCGAGGAGTATCCCAGTGCTTTGATGTGTTAAATATGACATCTGACTGGAGAACAAAGACGCTGCCAACAACCAGCACGTGTCAAAAGCATTGCACGCCAGTTATTGAGTTACTGTCATGCGTTTATCTGCTGTTCAGCCGACGAGGTGTTTTACAGGATTACAGTGCTAACCATTTCTGATAAATAAACATCACAGGGCTCGCTTGTCCTCATCAAAAGGCTGCTGATGATCATTTTTCAAGAAAGGCTACAGTCCAAGAGGCATCTCCACCCAGCCTGCTTTGAAAAAAAAAAGGTCAAATGAATCTCAGAGATGCAGAGAAGCGTTAGTCCCAACACTGTTTCCAGCTGTGACCTCAAGAATACGACTTTAACTTTGTCAAAAGGTTTTCCACGGAAACAGCAACACAATCACCGGATCACAAATCAGACTCTATAAGTTATGAGAGTTACATGCTGTGTCTTTCATGACATTGAGGAGGACGGCGAGAAGGTGCCTGCCTGAGAAGTGTGTAGCCATGCTGTGTTGCTCAAATAGATATGTACCGTTTGAGAGTGATGCAGCCTTCAGAATGATCCTGCCAGACAGATGAGTGCTACTTGAATGTTAATGAGGGCTCCTTTCGACACGCATAAATTAAATGATTAGATGTCTGCAATCATGCAAGGTCCTGAGGTGTCCCCTATTTATTGCATTTGAAATGTAGCTCCCTTTATTTAC